GTGATGATTTCACACTTGGAGGGATTGAGGATGAGTCCCAAGTCTTCTCCCTGTGTTTTCACCAGTTGTAGGTCCCCCACCAGGGACTCTTCAGTACCTGCCAGAGTGCCGTCATCCAGGTACCAGATATTGAGCTCACTGCGTAGGCTGGAAATTAGTTCTCTTACTGCCAAGCAGAAGAGAAGTGGAGCGAGTGGGTCACCCTGCTGAACACCCTCTGATGATTGAATTTCATGTTCTCCAAACAAAAGAATTGAGGGTTTGCTGTAGCCGGGTGAAATGAAGGGAAAAAGACTGGGGTACCGATCCCGAACAGCTGGCAAAACAGCATCTCTCTTCACCATATTAAAGGCATTTCTAAAATCAAGTTTGACTATGGCCTTGTCTTCTGGTAGGTCCCTGATGTAGGCCCTTGCGGCATGAGCTGCAGCTTCACTGCCTTGAGAGACCCCAAAGCCCAGTTGGTGTGGCTGGAGTAAAGTGGCAGCTTCTAGGCGAATGTTTCTCACTGCTGCTTTGGCAACGAGACGGCGAAGGGTGTTTCCAACTGCAATGGGTCTGATTCCCCCATCCCTCTTCTTCAAAGCACATAGTGAGGCTCCAAAAAAGAAAGGTTTAATTTCTTCTGGGATTCGCCCAGCCAGGCAATTGTTGACGAAAGTTGTTAATTCGGTGAGAAGAATTGATGCAGATTCACCGAGTACTGGATTTACCATCTCTTTGAGGTGCTGAGGTCGAATTCCAGTGTAACCTCCTGCAGATCCTGCTGGAAATGACACGATCGCCTTATAGACTTCCGATTCTGGCAAAATTAATTGTTCAATGATGGGGTCTTCCTCAGGGTTGTCGTTGATGGCTATGGTGTCCCTGGTTGGATGCTTGTCTCTTAGTGCTTGGGCCGTGGTCTCATCCTTGGGGGCTACAGTGTCATCACTTGTAATTATTCTTATTGCTCCCACTATGTTACCTTCTTCGATTTTTTTGCTAACCTGTGCACAAATTTTCTCATTTTCAGTGGGACTTTTCTTGGGTCTACCTCTTTGATTCCTGCGATATATATATATATATATATATATATATATATATATATATATATATATATATATATATATATATATATATAAATATATATATATATATATATATATATATATTATATTATTAAATCACACTGGCCGATTCCCACCAAGGCAAGGTGGCCCGAAAAAGAAAAACTTTCACCATCATTCACTCCATCACTGTCTTGCCAGAAGGGTGCTTTACACTACAGTTTTTAAACTGCAACATTAACACCCCTCCAATGGAATATATTTTTTTCGTTAAGTTTCGAATGATTTTTGCGAAATTATTGCATACAAAAATAAATTTTCGCTTGCTTTATTCGGCAAGAAGAGCGTTGCTATTTAAGCCAAAATCGCAAGTTTTACCTGTTCGGCACGACATTATGTATACATACATTGGGCCAGGAGCTGTGAATCGACCCCTGCAACCACATACAGGCAAGTACATATGTACACAGATGAGATAATAAAGGAAGGAGGAGGTGTGTGTTGAGTCAGTGGTGACGTCGCTACCTTCCTTCCCGTGAATGGTAGTAATGTCATGGCTGGGCATGATACCATCTACCTTACTCTGCCTACCTACATTTTAAACTGTAATGTTTTTCTCTGGTTTTTCTACTATTGATTTCCTTACGGTTATTCCTTCACAGTACTCAGAGAAAGTGTTACAAGAATACTTCATGAGCGCATATATTTTATTTTTCAAAGTCAAGAGGGAGGTTAAGATAGTAGGTGGCAACTATGGTGTGCTGCTTCAGTGTAATGGCCACAAGGCCGCAGAGTACCAGTGGCTCCACAGTGGCGGCGTCTTACTACACCCACTACATTCCTAACGTTGCCACTGAAGGTGTAGTGCGGTGTCAGTGGGTACACACACAGCAGTGTGTTTGAGGGCAGTGGGCGAGGCTGCCCCAGTGTCACCACCACTGTGCTACATTATCACAGTGTGTACGTGTGGAACTACTTAACTTGTCCCACTGATGAAGTGCTGACGAGACGGATGCTTACATGTATCTAAAAGCAGAGTGTGTAGTATATTAACTTGGTACTATAGTCCAGTGACAAGAAGTTGTGGACGAGAGAGTATAAGAGTGTTGCTACCCGAGGCTAGTGCAGCCCCCACCATCTGTCCTGCTTACCAGCTGCTCTATTTAATCACTTTCATTACCGTGTGGAAGGCAGAATGCAGCCTTCACAGAGTGCCAGTCAACTTTAGGGAGGTGCCTGTGAGTAACAGTGACGAGGAACACTAGTAACACAAGGTAGACATGGCAATATACAGCGAGGAGTCTCACAGCGCCACAGCCAGGGACACCATAGATGCTGTGCTCGCTGAAATTGAAGCTTTCACTACTGACTTCACGCGAGATAATGTTGTTACAGTAAGTCACCACCATCTATCAGCCTGACAGCTAGTGTTATATACGAGTAACTGAATTTATAAACTATTCCCAAAACTTCTTATGGCATCAATCCCAGTTCAAGCAAAATGCGTAGTCTTACTGCAAGTAAGCTGTATAATCCTCCGGGTTTAGCGCTTCCCCCTTGATTATAATAATAATAATTACTGTAAGTAAGTAAGTTTATTCAGGTATACACAAATACAGTTACATAGAATTATCATACATAGCAGCATATGTGTAGAGAACCTAGGATAACCCAAAAAAGTCAGTGACTCATTTCCATTGGGGGGGCTTGTGGGTCTTTTTAGTGCTTCATTTCATAAGCAATTTAACTTCCTCAATATTCTATGACAGATTTCTACATGAGGGAATAGCGCCTCCATATTTTATTTTAATATTGACTTTATCCTGATTATTATTATTATTATTATTATTATAATCAAGGAGGAAGCGCTAAACCCGGAGGATTATACAGCGCCTGGGGGAGGGATGTGGAAGGCATTCAGGCGACTTTATCCTGAAAGTTATGCCCGGCTGTGTCTGGCTCTCTAGTCGGTACTAATTGTCTTCTGTATAACAAAATGTAAATCAGGGTTCCTTAAGCTTAATTGCAACAAGGTGACCTAAACAGAAAAGTATTCATACCAATGACTATAGTCGACTACTGTAGGTGGTATTCAGGAAAAGATGGGGGTGATATACTTAACATAAGACTGGGTGGGTTGTGATGACTATGTGAGGCTGCAGGCCGCTAGTACAAACAGCCTAATTGATCAGGCGTCAACTGGAAAGCCTGGTCTTAGACCGAGCTGATTGTGTAGAAAAGCCCTCGAAACTAGCCATAGGTAAAGGTTGGTTAATAGGGTTTAAATCCTATCGACTACAAAGAGTTAATTAAGACTGCCTATAGCCCGTTCACCGCCAGTTAAAAATATTTTAATCCCTAAAGTGAATATACACCGAAAGACATGAAGCTCAGTGTTCATAGCACTTCCTGTGCTGGAGCTGAGCCGACGTAATCACCTCTCACGTCACATTATGAGCTGTTTATATGTCACAGGAAGACGCTCCAGGCCGGAAATTACCTGACATGACTGATGTAGCTTATTAGATCATCCCACACATATGTACTTTATTCTTTGAGCAGTCTAGAACTTTATCAAATCAATGTATGAACTCTTGAGCCGTTCATTATATTATCCTACCTCAAGGAAGGGTCCTTGACACTAGTGAAGGGCTCTTGATCCAGGTGATTGGATCTGTGCTCCAGTTCCCTGAACTGAGCCTGAATACCTTCCATGCCCCCCCCCCCCCCCCCCACACAGGTGCTACGGGTTTAAAACCTGCAGGTTTACTGCTCCCCCATGAGTATAACGATAATTATAATTATATTATCCATGTTATGTATAATTAATATTATGTTTTATGTATATTATCAATATGTAATTAGTATTAATATAATTAGCACTATTGTTAATGTTACAGTAGAATTATTATCATTATTAATGTATACCTACTTGGAGTATACCTGGAGGGGGGGTTCGGGGGTCAACGCCCCCATGGCCTGGTCCATAACCAGGCCTTGTGGTGGATCAGAGCCTGATTAGTGCATTAATATTAATATAAATTAGTACAGTACTGATAATAGTATTATTAGGAGTTTGTGATAATAGTAACATTAGTATTATTAAGAGTACCAGTAGTTATACTGTGCTAGAATTATTAGTAATATTATTATTATTATTCATGGGAAATTTTTTAAACTTGTAAGGATCATACAGCACTTGATGAATGGGAAGTAGTTATATTTGATCCAATCAGAGGGATTTATTATTATTATATTTGTGGTGAGGAGTGAACTCACAAGGATCATACAATGCCTGGGGAAATGGGAGGCAATCAGGTTTCATCCAAGAAAGGGAAAGGTCAGGTCCAATCAAGAGCTCCAGAAGTTTTATGTAGGAGGGACTTAGGAGCGACAATCTGGTTAGAAGAGGAGACTAGAAGACTGGCCTTGAAGCTGCCGTTATTATTTTATTTGGGGAGGGGGGGGGGGGAGTTGGAGCTGATGGAATTGTTGGGAACTGAAGACTTCCTTGGCCCCACCCTGACTTTTTGCACTGCCCTTTTGTCCAGTACCTTGGATCAAGAACTTCCCCTGAGGGGCCAAGGAAGGGGTGGTCAGCTCTAATTCCCTGAGTAAAGAGCTGTTCACCAGCATCAAAGCCACCACCTATTTGAAGGGTCTTAATATTGTTCTGTAGTAGTAGTAGTTATAGTAGTACATTTTGTAGTATAGTACTGTATTTTTATTATTGGTATTATTATTATTAATAGGATATGGCCTGTATTTACCTAACTTCTAAGAATTTGTATAATTTTAATTAACTGTTTTCCTTAGGGGTTGAATCTAAAGGTGACCTCAGTTTTCACAAACAGTTCGTTTGTTGTGACCTTTACCAGTGTTTTTTGTTGTTGCTACTAATTGCATTTGCCTCATTTGATGAATAATAATGGATATGTTGATCATTGACAGGGTCTGGAGCAAGTGGGCGGCAGTGTGGGTGTGTCCGGCGTGCCCCGGCGTGAGAAGCCACACCCACCCAGGATAGACGCCCACCGCTTCTCCAGGGCCAACCTCGAGGGTGAGAACAGTACTATACAATCTTGTGATCCTTCACACATCCTAGCTAAGGACACCTGGTTAAGCTACTGGCAGGCTGAATGAAAATTTGAAAGTTAAACTTGGCTCATTTTATTAATACTGTACAGCTTCTTCTCACTTAGTGACGTACTCGTTTACTGACACCTCAGATTTACGACAGGCTCTCTGACCAGTATTTATATTAGAGCTGATTTCCTCTATTCTGTTTATTTCAATATACAGTAGACTACTGTATAAACATTTAAAAATATACCAGAAATGTTATAAATGGTGCAAAGGTGACATTAAAACAATATCAAAGATGGTTGGCACAAACCCACTACCGTTATAGTATGCTCCTCACTTAGCGACGAATTCATTTAATGATGTGGTCTTAGGAACGGAACTCCATCGTTAAGTGAGGAGAGGCTGTAATTGTTAATAGCAAAAGTAAAAATAAAAAGGTTACTTCATAAAAATTACTAACAGTTTATGCACATTAAAAACCATTTAAATATTGAAGAAATGCTAATAGTGGTACAAATTCACTTTATTTTTTTATTATTTTCAGAGTTAAGAATTTTACTTACATTTTCTCATTTCTGCTAATCAATTTATATTTTGAGGCTATATTTGTTAATTTCTGAAGTGTACTGGAAATGACTGGTCATGTCCTGCCTTCCATTGAATGTCTTGTAATTTTTACTGTATATGGTACATGTTGTACCCAAACATGCATCATCTTACTGGAATCCTTCATAAATGTAGTGTGAGCATTTCACTTTAGAGAAGGTGTATAGAGTCCATTTTTTAAAACAACCAGTCCTGCAGCACTTTGCACTATTTCTTCTGCCATCATTAAGGTAGATGCATCTGGGTTTGTGGGATACCTTTGGCAACCAGGATACCTCTAGTTGCATATGGAATAAACCTTTTTGACCTTCAGTACAAATCTGACAATTGCTTACTAAAGATTTAATCAGTGAAAATACTGCACTTGAAAATCAGCATTTATACAGTTGTTATAAATTATATTTATATGTTGGGTAAACAAACACGTGAGAAATTCAAATCCTTTTAGATTGAGCATCTAAGATCTATTTAGGCTTTCCAGGTATACCCTATTCAGATATTAATTCCATTTGATTCATTGTTGTAAAACCTTTTTAATTTTTTTTTTCAGTGCTCATGGTCATGTGAAAGATTTATTGGATCTCATACTGTATTGTATTCTTAGCCTCAAAAGATGATTTTCCTAAAACTTGTCACATGTTATGTTGTAATGTTCTTCGGGTACATAATTGATACATAATTGTTTTGTAATGTACATATATACATGAAAGAATAAACTTGTAATTGCTTTAAGAGAGCTGCGTGAAGAGATAGGAGGTTAAGGATGTTGTATGATAGGAGTGGTGAGGCACAAGGTGAACAGTGACAGTGTGTGTGCATGCTTCACCAGCTCTAATGAGCATTGTTCTTTCCACAAAACATGGAGCCAAGTCATGCCACACAAACTGTCTATTTTGCTATTCTGATTCATGATGCTCACCTCTTCGAGGATTTGCAAGACTTGGCATTAAACATTGTTAATTGTGCATGACACTTTTAAAGTAATGGTATAATACACTAAAATATAAGTTAGGCAGTTCTCTCATTTGCGAATAAACATACAGTACAGTAATGTTCAAGTTAATAAAGAAATTTAGGTTGCGGTAATGTATTACGCTAACAGGTTTAGTGAATCAAAAAGGTTATATAAAAAGGGCCTGCAAAACACTGAAATAGGGGTTTATTCAATTTAAGACAAAAGAAATTACAGTGGAACCTCAAATTTTAAACGTATCGCTTATCGAACTCTTTGAAAATCGACCACTTTTTTCGAACCAACTTTGTCCCCATTATCGAACTTGCCCCTTTTTTTGAACCGCCGGGCACCGGACCTGTCCACCAGCCTGCTCTGTCCGCGTCCCTGCGCAGGCGCCGTGAGCCAGTCTGGCTTTGTTGATGCTTGAGTGGACACTAACCTGCAGTCTCATTCAAACATTTTACGATTAATTCATCGTGTTTAGTGCTTGTGGGACTGTGAAATAAGCTACCATGGACCCAAAGAAACTTGCTAGTGGTACCCTATGGTACACCATAGATATGAAGAAGGAAATAATACAGAAGTATGAGAGTGGTTTGAAACTTGTTGAGCTTGCCAGGATGTATGGGAAAAACAAGTCAACCATTGCTTCTATCCTGGCAAAGAACGAACAAATCAAGGAAGCTGATGTTGCAAAAGGTGTTAATATGCTAACCAAAAAAAAGACCACAGACAATCGATCAGGTCGAGTTGTTGCTGGTGTGGATCAAGGATAAAGAGATGGCAGGTGATAGTGTTTCAGAGATGATTATTTGTGAAAAGGCAAGGAAGTTGCACGCCGATTCAAAGATTAAGGAAATTGGCGCCAAGTGGAATAATGTCCAAATGTTTGTGGAGAAGTACCACCCTGAGCAAGCTGAAACAAGCCATCTTTGCAACAAGTTCATTGACAGAACCATGTCCCATTTTAGGGAAATCTTAGAGATGCCATAAACAGAGGACTGTGGACAGTTATTTTGTGAGACGGGTCCAGTGACTCTCAAGCTGATTCTAGTGACATTAAAAGACAGAAAAGGGAAGTAACCCCAGAGAGGGCTTTGATACCTAAAGTCCTTATGGAGGGGGATTTCCCTTCCAAACACTAACCCCAACTCCCTTTCTCCTCCTCCCTATCTTCCAGATGCCATCACCAATCTTCAATAAAGGTAAGTAAAAATGTTATTTTATGTTTATTTAAATTTATTAATACATAATTGTACACCCTATTTGTTGTGTGTATATAAAACTATAATTAATCTCTATAAAATGTATTTTTTTTTTTTTGAGTATTTTTGGGTTTCTGGAACGGATTAATTGTATTTTCATTATTTCTTACGGGAAATATTGCTTCGCTTTTCAGACTTTTCGAATTTAGAACTAACTCCTGGAACAGATTAGGTTCGAAATTTAAGGTTCCACTGTATAAACTGTATAAGCATGTATGTGTGAGTGAGCACCAACAAAAAACTGGCTCTGGTGGCCTACTGCTCAGGAAACAAGAGTGGCCAGTACTTGCCCAAGTACAGGCCACTCTGGCCCGTGCTTGGACGAATGTCAAAGTCATTGGGGCTTGGCCTGATACTTAAGAAGTCAGCTTTGTATTTGCTACAGCCAAAATCCGGAATTACGTTTTTTTGTTCATTTTCTCTGATACTACTTTCAGTGTTTGTTTGGCCAATTTTTTTTTGTCAGAAATTGTCAAAATCTGTTAATGAGATACTTTACTATTGGTTGTAAAAGAAATGTGATTTAAAGATAACAAATGTGCTGTAAACTCTTTATCCCAGTTGCTCTATGTAAAGGACTAAGATTTGGAAGAGAAGCAGCAGAAGTTATTAGAAGAGAAAGGGTGTTTGAAAGAATACAGAAAAAAAACAAAGTGATAAGAATAGGGGCAGAGAATGAATATTGGAAGGACCAACCAACCAACTTAAATTAGTACTAATCCCATAGAATTTGAAAATGAAATAGAAATCATGTTCGTTCACCAAGCACCTGGATCAGATTTATGGAATTCCTTGTTTATAAAAAAAAAAGTGCAAAGCACCACTAACACGAGCTTTCAGTATTCTTTGGAGAAAGAGGTTAAATTTAGGTAAAATACCAGAGACTAAAGAGTGGAGACGTAGTTCCTTTGCATAAGGGAGGTAATACAATTGCAGACAGGCGATCTTAACAATGTAAGACAAGCAACCGGGGGGGTGGGGATGGAAATCTTTAGCTCATTTCCATCCCCCTGTGGCTAGTCTTGCATAAAGGAGGCAGTAGTGACTGCCTTAAAATTACAGACCTAAAATCCCACATCACAAAAGTCTTCAAGAGAGTGACGAGATGCCAAATTACAATCTTTATGGAAGAGCACAATCTGCACAACCCAAACCAGCACGATTGTAGAACTGGATGATCATGCCTGTCACATTTGCTAAACCATTATGGCAGAATTATGGATGCACTGGAAGAAAACCAAAATGCAGATGACATATACACAGATTTTGCAAAGACATTTGATACATGCGATCATGGGGTGATTGCACACAAAATGAGGGCCATGCATCATGGGGAATGTAGGCAGATGGATTTTTGAGAACAAAAAGGCACAATACCATGACTGGAGCAATACACAAATAACCTGCACATAGAAAAGCTTATGATGACATTTTGGTCTGAATGGCTAGTTTTTTAAACACTTAATTTGGGGGGTTGATACCCTTGTCGTAGCTCAGATGGCACTTACCCCTGAAACCGTCCAAATGTAGAGAAACTTTTGAGTGCGTAGCGTTTCCCGACCTTGTTTTTCCACTTGAAAGGGAAAAAATTTGGGATGTAGATTCGTTGGGCCTTAGCAGTTTTAATCACATTTGGAAGTTTAATTTAAAAGGGGGAAGCCATTGGTTTTTAGGAAAGGAGGGGGGAAAAGGGAAGTTTTTTTTGAAATTGAGGGAAGGGTGGTGGGATAAATTGAAGGTGGCCCCCCCCCCCCCGGGGGGAACTGGGGTTAATGCCCCCAGGGCCCCGGCCCACGCCAGGCCTCCCGGGTGGACCAGGGCCTGATCACCCGGGCCCCGCACGCAGCCCAAACATACAACCCACAACCGGCTATCCGGCAGACTTTAGGTTCTTGTCCACCTCTCTTGAAGGCAGTAGGGATTTTATTTTCCCCCTTATGCTTGGGGGAGGCTGTTGAACAGTCTGGGCCCCCCGGGCATTTTATGGTGTTTTTCTTATGTACCAATGGTGCCCCTATTTTAATTGGGGGTAGTTTGCATCCCCCTCCCCAATCTCTTACTTCGTAGGGGTGTTTCTGTGGCAATTCGGGCCTTTCCTTCTAGGTTTTTCCCAAAGTTGTGATTATGTTATATCTCTCTCTCCTGCTT